GCTTCTGTTGTTTCAGCCACCCCTTTTGTTTGAATTTGTTGCAGGAAACCAGTACATGGGCATTCTGGAGCCAGGGGAGTAAAGGACGGAGATATAAAGTTTTGACAAATGGTTGCAAACACAGACATTCTCACGGGACAGGCAGGTAAAGTAAATGGTTAAAAATGAAAATGCAAGTGGTAACAAACAAAAAAACAACGGTGAATTTGAGCTTCTATGTCCAGCCACCAAATCGACACACAGATTGTATTCCCCGTGCATTCCTCTTGCCCCCCACACTTCCCGGATTTGCCGTCCATATTTATTGCAATCTTTTCTGTCCTTCTTCCCATTGTCTCTTACGTATATAAGCCTAGATTTATGTTTAGCCGTTTTGGCTAACTTCACATGTCATGTTAAAATCCCTCTCATTCTTTCGACTTGAGAGCATGTGTTTCCTGTTAGCCCCTAAACCTGGTCAGATTTCTGGGCCCTGGGGAGAAATTCTAGCAGCTGCCGTGATTTTCCACTGCACGTTCAAGTCGTCTGAGCACACTTGGGTGTTCCGTGAACATCAGAGTCGTCTTGATCCGTCCCGATTCCTCTCCTCTGACCTGCCCACAGTAGCCGTCCCCAAATGTTACTTCTGTGAACATCACCCGCCTCTTTCCTCTATCGTTCATGAGAACTTTGGGATAACCCAACAAGCATGGTCTCAGCCCTTCTTCCTTCCACATTATGCTCTCTTCATGCCTTTACTACAGTGTTTTACTTTCATCTTCGAGCAACTAGTGATCTTTCTCTGTGTTACGGCTAATGTTCCCACTTCTTGAAATGGGACTGGACTTTTCCCCTCTTTCTGAATATCGGTGTTTTTCCCCCCAGCCTCCAGGTTTTCCTGAGATCCTAGTCACTCTCCATTTCCAGTCTGTCTTGTCCTTGGCCTGTATCATCCAGTGTCCTGTATTAGCCTCGGCCTCCTTCCGTGCTCTCTGACTGGCCACCTACATAATTTACAAAATTTCAGACAGCGAGCTTAAGAATACACTTACCATCTTTTCCTCCAAACCCCACTTCTGCCTAAGAATTCCCTGTTTGTGTAGATTCGTAACCCTGGAATCCGCTTCAAATCTGCCTTTTCCCTGAGCCACCCCCAGCTTTGGAGAATCAGGATAGATCACAGCGCTTTCCACATGGTAATTATTTACAGGACATTTTTAGTTCCTGAGATAGACACTGGAATAGAGGGAAGAACACTAGATCTGCCAGGGAAGACTTGAACCTGAACCGGGCTTTACCACTCAGGACTTCTCTGACCTCTGGCAAATCATTGAACTGCTTTTTGCCTTAGGGTCCCTATCTTTAAAAAGGTAATAGGAATATCTTTCTCAAAACATTGTTGGCGGGCGCCTGGGTGGCTCAGTTGGTTAAGCATCTGACTCTTGATTTCGCCTCAGGTCATGATCTCCAAGTTCATGAGTTCAAGCCCCACGTCAGGCTCTGCGCTGATGGCGTGGAGCCTGCTTGGGATTCTCTCTCTCCCTCTCTCTCTGCCCCAGCACACTTATGCTCTCTCTCTCTCTCTTAAAATAAATAAATAAACATTAAAAAAGTATTGTTGGGAAGATTCCAGAGGTTAATATGCATAAAAGTTCTATACAAACCCTATAAAGTGACACACTGTGATTTAATCTTTGAGACAACCAGCTTTTTTTTTTTTTTTTTTAATGTTTATTTGAGAGGGACAGAGAGAGAGAGAGTCAGAGCACAAGCTGGGGAGGGGCAGAGAGAGAGAGGGAGACACAGAATCTGAAACAGGCTCCAGGCTCTGAGCTGTCAGCACAGAGTCCCGCTCAGGGCTTGAACCCACAAACCATGAGATCATGACCTGAGCCAAAGTCAGATGCTTAACTGACTGAGCCACCCAGGCGCCCCTGAGATGACCAGCTTTGTAGTCCCATAGTTGTTCTCACTCTCAGAGAGAAGAGAGAGAGAGACAAAAAGTAGAACTAAATCAGTGTAGAACCTCGCCTTCGCAATAAGCAAACTATTCTCAGTGGGTCAAGCTCTGGACTGTCTGTAAACTGTTAGTTTTAATCCATATGAAATTGCTGTATTTAGCAGGTTTTTAAAGGCAATTCTCGGAAAATGCATTTGATCCAAACTAATAGTGGCAGTGCTTCCCTTTCGTGGCTCCAGGGGAGTCCAGACGTTGGAGGGGCATATGGCACCCTTGATGCTGCATTCGGCCATCTTTTGCTAATGATATTGGGGTGGAGGCAAATATTATGCCAACCTCCACTGCCGTGTCTTCATTACCAGCATTCCTGCCCATCAGGTCCCCTAGTTTCCTCTGTGTCCCACAGAGTGTGAGGGGTGAAGCACCTGGCCCGTACACTTTGGTTACTTGGTCTCATCAAAATACAAAACATACATAAGATAAAGCTATTTTATTATTGTCTTTATTAAGTTTGTTATCAACCCCATGATCTGCAAGGTTTGGCTGAGACTCAGAAGTCCTAAACTTGATGACTCGAGCTGATATTTTGTATAAATTGTGAAATCGGTTCTTTGCTGTTTCTTGGTCCTACGTGCTTAGGACTTAGGACTCAGAACTGTTGCGATTTCCTCTTAACGGACAACAGGTAAGTCCATCTTAAAAAAATCACTCTTCTGTAGTCTAATGAATATCAACAAAATAAAATGAGATCAAATATTTTTGATATGAAGAGTGTCCTGTTAGAATTACCTTTGGAAATGCCACTCTGCTTATATTTCTATCTCGAAATGCCACCCTGCTTATATTTCCACATTTGTGTGCGAAATATAAAGCCATAAAAAAGAATCCTGCTTTCAGATTGTGCATTGATATGTATATATGTGGACATGTGCATTCAAAGAAAGGATTTTTTTTTTTCAGTATGGAACGCTTTTTTTTAACAAGACATTACAGGTAACCTTGATGGTCCAATGTAAAGACACATAACCTCTTCAGATTCTGCATCTTCCTGACTCTCTACTCAATTAGGTGCCAAACACAAACTCTAATTCTTAGGCTCTTATGCAGTGTTTAATTGTACGGATTCCATAAAAAATCACTTAATATAAAGAAAACAAATACTCTCTTTTATTGCCACACTAAATACTTTTGCCAGCAAATGCTTTTGGGGGTTCTTTTTATTTATGGATTTTTCGCAATGCCAGAGAGCTTTTGTCTTTTTTAGTGCTTTATATTTATAGTTGTGGGATGATCATTTTCTGGTTGGTTTCACATTGAGCTCTTTTAGAACTAGTTGGAGTAGTAATAGTTTCACACAGTTTATACTTTCTCCCCCTGAGTCCTATGTTAAATCTTTTTCACTCTCTCAGTGACACTGCAGTATATTATGCTATACATTCTTAGGCTATTAACTTTGGGCATTGCTAATGATTTCTTCTTTATATATATACAGGACATAAAACATGTAAATGTTTCTTATTAAAACAAGAAAACTCAAAACACAATCAACCCTATCAGAAGAGAGAGAGAGAGAGAGAGAGCAAGAGAGCTGGAGAGATTTTTTTCCTTCTTCAAGTAAGATTGCAAGACTGAAACAGGTTTGTAAAATCCCAGTGTTGGAAAACAAAGTAAATTATAAAAGACCCCTAAAGGGAGTGATTTAGTTTTCTTAAAAAACAGCTTGTTTGGTATTCCATTCCTTATCACTTATCATTTTTTTTTTTAAGTAACACATTAGAAAAATCAACAATACCAACATAACAGGGTTTTGGTTTTGGTTTTGTTTTGTTTTGTTTTGTTTTTCTTGGCTAGAAGAAAATGCCTGAGTCTTTGTGAGAAGGCAGGAAGGAAAAAAAGGAAGGAACTTCAAAGTCACCTTGACCACATCATTGCCCGCAGATAAAGGAGCCCTGAGGAGTAAGTAGCTCCCTTTGTAAGTTCTACCAGCTCAAAGCCTCTGAGGATTCAACCTGAGGGTGATATGTATAAGATAGCTGGGAGAGGAGTACCCTTTGGGACGAAACCTAACATCAAAAGATTTAAGGGAGCAGGGTGATTCAGAAAGCCCCCCCTCCCACCCCCAATACAAGAAATGGACCTGATGAGGGGCGCCTGGTGGCTCAGCTGGTTAAGCGTCCCTTGGCTCAGGTCATGATCTCATGGCTTCGTGGGTTAGAGCCCGGCACGGGGCTCTCTGCTGTCATATCCGAGCCCGCTTTGAATCCTCTGGCCCCTCTCTCTCTCTGCTCCTCCCCACCCACATGCACTCTCTGCCTCAAAAATAAACATTTAAAAAAAAAAATGGGGCTGATGTCAGCAACAGCAACCAGCATTTGTGCCTCCACGTGGAGGGTTGCCTAAGCCCCAAAAGAAGTCTTTGGAAACCACTGGCCCCCTGGCTTACTTTGCAATTGGGCTTTCTTGATATGCCAGCTTATGCTTTCTTATGGATGCCGAGATGATTCCAAGAACACCTTTCACAGACGTTGCAACACCTAACTTGGCCGCTTTCAGGCCAAGCAGTCAATGGTTGAAGAATGGGAGAAGTAAGGATGGACGGGATGGAGGAGCGAGAACAAAGCTAAGTGGGAGAAGATGACGGGTCCCCTGTGAGGAGAATGAGAGGGGAGAGTAAACAGGGGAGGGAGCGGGGAGATCGGGAAAGAAAACTGCAGGAACAAGGGAGGTCAGATTTCACTAGAGCCTACCCCATGCCTGGAACTACAAAGCTCGCCGTATGGTACACAGAAAAACGAGACGAGGATTTCTTTTACTGAATGCACTAAGGGGGACTGAAGAAACGTATACAAAATATTTCCTGGGGTTGCCCCGGCAGCACGCGGACATCCACATGTGGCTGGGCTCTTCCCCGCCCTGATTTACCCCCCTCGGGGCAACGAAGCCAGAGCCGCCACTGCCGCCCAGTTCTCTGCCCTTACAGAGGTTCATCTGTTTCCAGAAAACGGTGTCCCTGAGGAGCAAGGTCAGCAGACAGGAAGTGAGGTCGGCAGACAGGAAGTGAGGTCAGCATCAGGTCTCCATGCCCGGAACAGGACCTCTGGCTTCACTAGAGGGTGACTGCTGGTCCAACCCCAGCGCTGCTCACTGAGCCGGGCAGATAGGCCCGGCCCAGAGCCACTGGATCAACTTACTGCCAGAATTTTGACACCAGGAGCCCCTCCTGGTGGACGCACGCTGGAGAGAAACAGATCAAAGCAACAAGCAAACAAACCCCGAAAACCAAAACCCAAAACGCCCTAATTGTTACATAACTTTTGTTTTCTTCTTTAAAGACATTTATTATAGCTCTTCAGAGTTCTTAAAATTCCCCAAGTGAAGGATCTGGTTTACTGGTGGAGATCTATGTCCCCAAATAAAACTGGACCCTTTCTGAAAAGCCACCTGTTCAAGGTTAACGCCGTGGTCTGTTTCCCTTCACTTTTTTGAACCCTCAGCGGAGAGCTCATCAGCGGATCTGTTGTCTCCTGGAAACCGGGAAGGAAAACAGTCAGTTCTGTTCTCTTCCCTGGGCCGGGGGAGTGAGCTATAATAAGGGAGCCTAAGAACACCCTGGAAGCCCACAGGCCGGAACACACAGGTTAGCACCGCCTGGCTGACCTGACTCACAGGTGCGCGGTTGCCAGGTAACGCTGGGGCCTCTGGGTTCTTTCCAAAGCCCAGCAGTGGGGCTGGGAGAGGTGTGGGCAAGGGCCCCGGGGTGGTTGTGGGGGCAGGGCAAGCGGAGAAGCGGAGTCACTCTCCGGGCAGCTGGTGGTGCAACTGCTTCTCACCTGCGTGGCCAGTGGAAACACGTCGGCTTTGGCCCCGAACGTTCTCCTTCCCCAGCAGCTTGTGCTGTGAAAGAGCCGCGATTCGCGGTGATCAGGCAGAAAGGAGGAGAGGACACAGAAAGCCCGCCAGTTTTCTTCTTCCGTGTGTACATCTACGTACATATACGTATACACGAAACACACCACCTGCCCTCTATAAAGTGATATTCTAAAACTTCTTCTCAATCCCGGGCAAGTTTGCGGAGAGCATTTTCACATATGTGAAGGGCAAAAGGACCCATGGACAGAGCTGTGGGGTGGTTGAAAACATCTGGAATCCAGCCCACGCTGTCGCTTCGCCTCCCGTGTTAGTTGGGAGTCACCTCTTTTGAGATTCATGGAGAAATTGCTCAAATCCCTATGTGTTGTGGGAGAACCAGGCATTCCTCTCGGTATTTTTAGGAATTCTTGAGGATTTACAACTAAATCCTCTAGGATTTACCTTCCAGGACCCCTAGCTCCTTCTTGCACAGATTTAATTCTGATCAGGAGTTCACACAGTCCCTTGCATGTGGTCTGCATAGAGAGCCTACCATTTCCTAAACCATTTATCTGGCAAATTTGTAAATCTGGGCCGCCTTTTTCCCAAATAATGCCAGATGCGAAAGGACCTGCGTGGTCCTAAGCTCATGTTGATTTGTCTTCTAGTGGGTAATAGTGGGTCACTTTGAGTACTCCTAGGGATCTGTGTTTTATTTCGCTTGAGCAAAAAAGCTTTTAGTGAATGGACAGGTGCACCATGACTGTGTGCCGTAGAATAGGAGGTGATCCTAGCCTGAGATTCATTTAAAAAGACAGGTCTGGTGTTTAAGTGCCAGCGTTTCTCAGAGTCTGCATCGGTGGGTGTGCTAGTGAGGTCCAGAGAGGGTTGAATATTCAGAATCAGCTGGCCTTTCCTGATAGGTGGCCTGTCTTTCCAGCTATGTCTTTACCAAGCATAGAGTGTGCTTCCCCCCCCCCCCCCGAAATATCCATCTGTTCCTGAATCTGTTTAGGGTGAAGAAAAGAGGAGGTATCTGATGAGATTCTAGGAAAGCTTAGAATTGGAGGTTGAAGCAGGCACAGCCAACCCACAATGTCACCACCTGGAATCAGGCAGGCAAATGGGGAGAGCATGCAGGCCAACCTTCCTAGCCCAGAGGCTACCATTCCACTTTATATGTTTGAGTCATTGTGAGGAGAGAAAGATTTATAGGCATTCTTTCAACACTTACTCCACAAGCATTTATTGAACACCTACCCTATTCTGAGCAGTGTATTCAGAGACCAGGACTGGAAACAAGTCATTTGTTCTCACTAGTCTGGAACACCGCTCTTTTTAACTGCCTGTAGATGACATTCTAAGTATCACTCTGTGTATTGATTAAATGCTTACACGTGTAAAGGATCTTACAGGGTTGATATTTGGGGGGGGGGGAGCCAAAAGCAAGCAAACTATTACATAGACAGTGCTCCAGACTGGGGAAAAGATAAGAGGCACTTACAAGAAGCTGATCTAACCTGTTGCCCTGGATTCTGATACCATAGGGTCTCAGCTTCAAACGTGTATTTAAAAGGATGTCTGTTTAAAAAAAACCACAAGTATTTGCATAGTGGTGTTAATAGTTCAGTAAATGTCATTTTTCCTGTTTGATCATAACCAGCTCCAGGATCTCACATGGGTAGGGATGCCTAGTTCATTAAGGAGATGCCATATTTGGCAGGTGAAAATGTGGTCTTTGGTACTAGTCATCACTCATGAAGTTATATCCGAAATGTGTGAATAAGGAAAATACAGCCCTTTTCAGAGCCTTTGGCACCCATCCAGAGGCTCATTCAATGCCACAGATGAAGAGCTTCTCTTTCTGAATGTGCCCCTCTCTTCAGGAGCCCCCCTTATCCCCCTGGAATGAGAAGACTTGGCATCAAATGCAGCTCCCAGAGCTTGGGAGGCTCCCGGAAAGAATTTTGTCATGTTGATTCTAGAACGGTGTTAGTTGACGTTTCAAAAGTCGAAACTCCTACAATGCTTTTTCATTCTTCTTCCAGAGAAGGCAGGCCAACCAAATAGATGTTGACCACCAGAAGATTCTCTGTTACAAGGGCAGTAGATATATTACATATGATTTATCAAACTGCTTATGATCAACCTTTTGGAAATTCTAACCGTTTCTTTTTTTAACTTGGAGAGCCATAGTCCAGTTTGCCTTGGATAAGTCCCAGTTTATTCTTGTTCTGGTGTAAATATCACTAGTGTGGGTCCCTTTTATTCTCCTATGTGTCCTAGTTTGAATGTATATGGTCGCCTTATTTTTAATCTGGATCCTAATCTCCCACCAGGTGACAATAACTCTTCCAGGATCATTCCAACTTTGTCTCTACATAGTTACGTGAATATGGAAAAGACATCTAATTTTCCTGTGGTTTCATGTGGTCCTTGAAATAACGGGGTTGTCTGGATAAATAGTATCTACTTCCTCCACAGTTCCAACGCTTGCAAAGAATGTTAATCGTATCAGTCAAATTACTCTGGTTACCTTTTGAGGAACCCTTTTTTGTCCTCTCCGAGTGAGTTGGGACAACTGGATTTTGGAGGATCTTTCATAATCCATAACGAGGTGGTGAAGATCCTTCATGCCATTTTAAAACGTTTGGGCTTCCTGCTACACCAAGGAAAGTGACGAGTGACCAGGTTTGCCAATAGGTGAATGATGTGACCAAATGTTGGCTGCAAAAAATGTGTTTTGTAGTAATGCAAGTGAGAGGATTTGAAGCCCATTGGAAGGCCAGCAAGAACTCTGAAGGCTTGTACCTCGGGATCAGGGAAGTTGTGAAACTAACATCTTCCTGAGTTGCGGTGGGAGCTTCTATTCTGAGTGAATTTGAATCAAGTTTCTATCTCCTTTACTCCAATCTCTCAAATCTAGGCTATTGGTATAGTATTTCCTTGGTTCTCATCTTTCAATATGGTTTTGTGTGTGCTATTAAAAAAAAAAAACAACAACACGGCATCCCAGGGCAAGACGTCTTTCAGTGATGAATCAAGTGATTCCCATGTGTTAGTTTATAAATTGTTAACTGCTTTGGGATTCAAAGGGATGAAAGATGCTTTATTTATTGTCCTTTGAGATGAAAGATGCATAATTTATAACATGAGGATTACTATTTTATTCACTCTTGTGACGCTGAAATCAGATTCTTTTCTAGTGATGGAATTGCAGAATCCCCTTTAATTTGTGGGCAAGTGGCTTATTAAAAGTTTCGGTGTTAGAGGGTCTGGCTATACAAAAGTGGGTGTTGTATGAAGGAAGCAGTATGACCCTTTTGCTGTTCCACAAAGGCTTCATTCTCCTGCTCATGAGCGTTAGTAAGATGTTAAACATGTGTTTGCAGGAAGGGCATGTAAAGATGTTGGCTCTGATGTGTGCTCATGCAGGCTTACGATGACATAATTAGGTATAGTCTGTGAAAGTATCTTAAAATATCACAGCTCTAGACCTTGCCTGGTCCTCTCTTCCAGTGGGCCTAGGACCTTTACATGGCATTATTGTACCTTTCCAGGTAATCACAAGTTTCCAGTATCCAAAAATATCAACAAGTATGTGCTTAGGAAAATGTCAGCTTCCTGGTTGATAGACCCTTTAGAAATCCCTCGGCTGGAAATCTTCCGTTTGCAACCTTGTAGGGAAGGCTAGGTTGACTTACTTGCTTTTAACTAAAAGGAAGGGCTCGCTTCTTGGCAGCCAGGTTTGGGACTGTTTCTCTAATTTAAAAAAAACAAAACAAAACAAAACATATCTGTCCTGGGGCGTCTCTGCATCAGACGGATTGCGGAGAACCATGGATTTGTGTGTAGACCGGGGTGATGCAGGAATGTTGAACCTTCCTTTTGAGGGACTGATGTCACGGACTCGGCCTTTTTAGCGGTCACCACAGTGGTGGAACGTTTGGAAATGAGAGAGCAGAGTCAGGATGGCCCTCAGCTTCTTCTTACTCCTTCTTTTCATCTTTATCAGATGAAATGTTCTTGCCCTTTGAATATTGGCCGTATAGCAACAGTAGGAAAGGAAAGAGACCTACAGATGGATGGTCCCGGGGGCGGTGGGACCTGGGCTGTGTAGCAATGCACAAAGGACCCACCATGAACTTTACAAAAAAAAATCCAGGGAAACGGATGAACCCAAGCCAGAATTTTTCTTCTTAAAATGACTTTACCAACTTGGTCGCATGCTTCTGTTTTATTAGAATATGTATTTGCTTTCTTACCCATAGTCAGACTGAAGTTTCTAAGAATGTTCTTATACAGAAAGTATTTCCAGAAGCTATAATTCTCCCGTCCGCAGGGGGATGTGACTATATTTCTACTTGAGTGTAGAAGGCCATGAAGGAAGCTAGGACATAACCAATAACTGTCTTTTGTGTATATGGAAACCCTGGCAATTATGTCTTCCCTGGGGACAGAAATGGACTTCAGCTAACGTGAGTCCACTGAGTCGGGAGAGTCAGTCGGCCTGTTTCTCTCATTACCAGCATTACTAAGGCAATAGATGTTTTAGCAAAGGACCTATCTGGAGTGACTTAAAGAATATATGATTTTTTAATTTTATTTATTTCTTTCTTCGCCATTCAGGCACGCTGCTTTGCAGATCAGAAACTAAGTCTGATTTACCCTCAGGTCCAAGCCCGCCCCCCACATTTTCCACGAGGCCTTGCGGCTCACGCGGGTGGATCCCATGTAGCAGCCCATATGGGAGACAGTGAGCACTGTGATTATTACAAGGGGGCACGGGCTGTAGTTGTGCACAGCTTCCTGGTGGTTGACTCAGAGCCGTGGGACCCTGCAGTCAAGGATTCTGTACCCCAAGAATGCCTCCTCCTCGCACGTCCCATCTCCTTCCGGCCCTTGACCGCCTGGAGGGCTCATCTCTGGAACTCGGAGTCTGATGAGGAGAGTGACTGAGCCCAGCAAGTGCTGGAGACCAAGAGCCCCTGCCTTCGTGAGCTCTGGCCTTTGCCCCTCCGCCTGCAGCATCCAAACACCTTCTGACTCTGAAGCAGTGAGGGCGGGGCCCTCAGCCCTGTCCCACCAACCTCCAAAAGCCCCAGGCTGGGACCAGGACAGGAACCCCAGCTTCTCAGCAGCAGCAAGGCACTGTCTGTTCAAGAAAGTTGGGCCATTTTCAGAAACTAAAGACCCAACTGAAGAACTCTGTAGGCTTCCTCCTCCTCTGGATACCTGAACCTAAAAAACAAACGACAAGCAAACGATGCTCTACATTTGTAAAACTTGAAATCGTATTTATTATATCAAAATGAAAAGTTTGTATTTCTTCAAACTGTGCATGGCATAAAATCTTTCACATTTTTTTCCCATGAGGTTTTGTTTTTGTTTTTGTTGTTTTGTTTTACTGTCCATTCATCTGTGTGAGAGAGAGACAGAGAGTGAGTGGGGAAGGGGCAGAGAGAGAGGGAGACACAGAATCCGAAGCAGGCTCCAGGCTCCAGGCTTCGAGCTGTCAGCACAGAGCCCGACACGTGGCTGGAACCTGCGAACCGTGAGATCATGACCTGAGCCGAAGTCGGATGCTTAACCGACTGAGCCACCCAGGCACGCCTTTTCTTCCTTCCTTCCTTCCTTCCTTCCTTCCTTCCTTCCTTCCTTCCTTCTTCTTTCTTTCTTTCTTTCTTTCTTTCTTTCTTTCTTTCTTTCTTTCTTTCTTTCTTTCTTTTTCTTCTTCATGAGGTTTTTAAAACATTTACCTGGTGATGTGTGCTTTTGTTTTTTCTCCTTTCTATTATTATTTTTGCATTGAATCGGCCTCCGGAGGATGAAGTCTGCTTGCTGCTTTGAGAACTTGCTCTGGTTGGTGCAGAATGGCACTAAGTCACTGCGGGGTTAATAGAGCCGCTTGAAGTATAGCCATATGTTATTAAGGCTGTGACAAATGCATTTGTGTCTTTATCACTTGTGATGAATGTTTCATTTCATTGACATCAATTCTAATTCCGGAAAATAAATGCTCACCCAAGAGAGGCACATGGCATCTTTCTGAAGCTTAGAAAAAGGGGAAAAAAAAACATTTTGTTCCATAAGAGAGGAAGTCTGCTCCCCAAAGGCCTACGAGTCATCTCAGGAATAAAGATCTGTGTTCCTTTTCTTTTCTTTAAAAAAAAATGTCTGCAAGGTGTAAGCAATGCATTCTACTATCCCACACTCTGCTTATCTGAGGGGCTGGGCTTTCAAATGATGGAAACCTAGGACACTAGGACTAGAGGGATTTTAGGTGTCTGTTGGCCCAATATCTTTATTTTATAGATGAGAAATCCAAGGCTCGGAGAAATCAGGTTATCTGTCCAGGGCCATATAGCTATTTAATTGAAGAAACAAGACTTGAAAATGGTGTCCCTTCTCTTTCACTACTATTATCTATTCCTGTAAATTTGTTTTATTTATTTAAAAAATTTTTAAGTTTATTTATTTTGAGAGAGAGAGAGGGTGAGCAGGGGAGGGGCAGATAGGGGGGTGGAGAGAGAGAGAGAGAGAGAGAGAGAGAGAGAGAGAGAGAGAGAGA